TAGAGCTGGTTGGAGATGGGGTGCAGGGTTGGCTGGAGATGGGGAATGGGGCTGGCTGGCTTTGGGGAGGGTGTGCTGCAGAGGTTGGATGGAGGCGGGGGTGTGGGGCAGGCTGCAGGCAGGGCAGGAGGTGCAGCAGGGGCTGGCTGAGGGCATGGTGGCGGGTACCAGGGATGTCCCTAGATATTCTTGGGCCCTATGCAGTCCCCCCCCCCACATGGGGGGTGCCCCAGGCCTCCGTGGGGGAAGCGGGAGCTGGGCGGGAGGCTTCCAGGGGGTCGGGGATGGCTTGGGGGGCAGGGGGAAACTACCCCCCCAGTACTCCCCGGTGGCGCAGCTGAGGCCACGTCACTGTACTTCCTGCTGACGGTGAATGCAGCCCCGGCCCCGCTGCAGAGCTCAGGGGAATGGGGGCAGGGCGGGGCTGAGCAGGGGCTGGGCCCTGGGGAAGACCAGAGCAGCAGGGAGCAGCGCAGCGCCCCCGGGGGCCGGAGGAGGAATGACATCACTTCCCGGTCGGCTGGAGATGATCAAAGAGGGTTACACATTTAGCCGGCGCGGGGTGAGCATCCCAGACATTTTGGGCACCACTTTTTGGCTCCCTCAAATCTTGGCATCCTAGGCGGCTGCCTAGTTTGTTAGTGGATGCACCCGCTCTGCGTGCTGGTAGCCACAGGAGAGAGTGGTGTGGGGCGAAGAAGAGCGGGCTGGTACTGCCACTCTGTGGGCATGGGGGAAGCACAAACAGCATCTGTGGGATGCCAGGGCAGTTCACAGTCTGTCCCTCCCATGTCCCAGGCCTCCGGCCCAGGCCCTGACTGTGCTGCAGGGATGCTGCGGGTCAGACACATGCCCTCAGGCTCTAGGTGACAGGACCTTTCTTCCCAGTGTCCCTGGAAAGGTACAAATCCAGAGGGCAAAAAAAAAGCCCCCCCCCTTTGTAATCTGTGTACGACGATTGAGGGGGCAGGGGGACAGATTCATGATCTTTGAGCACTTCTGGCTGCTGACCTAGTTCTGTCCCTGCCCTCCCCCAGGTTTCCATGGGATGCAAGCCATGGACTGGGACACCCCCGGAGTTGGGGGGGGGGAATTCCAGTATGACAGGGATGAATTCATCAGCTTCCACGTCCCACCTCAGGCCCCTGACCTCTGTCTGCATCCCGACTCCCCCACTCCCGGAGCCATGGTCCTGCTCCTGGCCCCACTCAAGGGGATGTGGGGGCACAGTCAGGGATAAGGGGGGGCACCAAACCCCTACTCTAAAAAGTGTCCACTGGGCCCAGAGCAATTCCAGCATCTCCCCCTGTGCTTTGCCAGGCTAAACCAGTCATGGTGGCATCCGGGATGCTGGGCGGGCGAGAGAGCCGGGATCCTGGGCTGAGGCCTGTGTTGTGAATTCCTTTAATGTTTAACCAATACATGAAACGTTTACTTCTTTAAAATGCTATTTACATCCCTAGTCCGGATACCTGCTTTGTAACTTCTGAGCCCTTAGGCAGAAACCTCCCCATACCCCCAAAGCTTCAGTGATACTTGAGGTAAAAGAATTCCACTCTGGCTGCTGGGTGAGACAGACCCCCCTCCTTCCCTATGGGGTGAGGGAGCGGCCCTTTTATCTCTCCCTCTCCTTCTCCCTGACCCCCACCCTCTTTCTGTCCCTCCTCCTGCCAGTCTGCTCTTGCTTTCACAGCCACCCCCCCCCCACATCCCTCCTTTCCCTCACAGTGACCCTTCCCCCCACACACACTCTCAGTTTCCTCTACAGCTCTGTTCCCATCTTGCCCATAAGTATTCTCTATTCCCCTGCATTGCCCCATCCCCGCTTCAGCACCCTGTCCTGTCCACTGCATCCTCCTCCTGCCCCTGACCCATCCGTAATCCCCCCTCATATACACACCCCCTTCCCCACTTCAGCTCTTTTTCAGCTCCCCCTAGTTGTGGCTGTCCCTGCCCCCAGCACAGCATGGGTTGGCTTCCCTATGCTCTGCACACAGTGGGAGCTGGCAGGTGTGTATAGGAAACCGTTCCCTGTAGGAATTTGCTACCTGCACCAGTTGCAGATATGTAAATGGTTTATAAGAAACGGCTATTGTAAAAAAACTGCTCTTTGATGTAGCAAATAACTACAGATAGACCATTCCTGGCAGGTCTTTGTCAGCTGCATAACCCCTCGACCAGTCAATTTTTTCCCTCTGCTCAGACCCTAGCTGCCACACTCCTCTTCCTCCTCCACTTAGGGCAGGGTGAAGGGTGGTGGCACATCCCTACATGGAGCAGTTTTCTGTACTGCACCTGCAGGAGAGTTAATTAATCCACCCCAATGGACGATTTTTGCTATGTCTCTGGGAGAAGCTTAAAAAAAATGCCAATCAACTCTCCTTTGGCAGGAGGCAGGTGTGACGGGTTAGAACACAGAAACCCCCTTGGAGGCTGCCAACTCATGTGCCAAGGTTAATTCTGCCCCTGCTTTCCCTGCCAGCTTGGAACTCCAACACCCTGTCTTGTTGAGCCAGACACACCAGCCTGCTCCAACACAGACCCAGGGGCTGAACCATGTGCCCCAAACTGCAGACTTAACTGAAAGCAATTTAAGAAGTGTTCCTGTTTTTAAAACTCAGATGCCAAACTCCCAATGGGGTCCAAAACACAAATGAATCCATTTTACCCTATATAAAGCTTATACAGGGTAAACTCATAAATTGTTCGCCTTATATAACACTGATATGAACAGCTGTCCCCCACCCCCCAAGTATTAATACATACTCTGGGTTAATTAATAAGTACAAAGTGATTTTATTAAATACAGAAAGTAGGATTTAAGTGGTTCCAAGTAATAACAGACAAAGTGAATTACCAAGCAAAATCAAACAAAACACTCATGTCTAACCTAATACAGTAAGAAAGTGATTACAGATAAAATCTCACCCTCAGATGTTTCAATAAGCTTCTATCACACACTGGACGTCTTCCTAGTCTGGGCACAATCCTTTCCCCTGGTACAGCCCGTATTCCAGCTCAGGTGGTAGCTGGGGGATTTCTCATGATTGCAGCCCCATTTGTTCTGTTCCACCCACTTACCGGTATATATCTTTTGCATAAGGCAGGAATCCTTTGTTCCTCTGGGTTCCCACCCCTCCTTCTCAATGGAAAAACACCAGGTTAAAGATGGATTCCAGTTTAGGTGACATGATCACATATCATTGTAAGACCCCAAGCCTTCATTCCTCCCAGCCTGAATCACAGGAAGGCCTGATGCAAACAAAGCCATTCACAAGTGGGCTGTAGTCCACGAAAACTTATGCTCTAATAAATTTGTTAGTCTCTAAGGTGCCACAAGTACTCCTGTTCTTCTTTATTCACAATCAATTGTCATGGCTGATGAGAGCCATCAAGATTCCAAACCACCATTAATGGCCCACACTTTGCATAATTACAATAGGCCCTCAGAGTTATAGTTCATATTTCTAGTTTCAGATACTAGAGTGATACATTTATACAAATAGGGTGACTACACTCAGAAGATTATAAACTGTGTCATTATACCTTACAAGAGACCTTTTGCATGAAGCATATTTTAGTTACATTATATTCACACTCATCAGCATACTTTCATAAAATCATATAGAGTGCAACGTCACAGCAGGAAAATGGAAAATGCCAGCCACAGGGGATTTCTCTGGCAGATAAGATTTCCCGATAAAGAGATTGCACTACAGTACTTGTATGAGGTGAATTGAAAAATACTATTTTTGTTTTGTGATCACTGTACACTTTCTATTCTTGTTGTGAGAGAAATCAACATATATGAAAACGCAGAATAACATCCAAAAACATTTAACAAATTTCAATTGGTATTCTATTATTTAACAATGTGATCCATTGAGATTAATTTTAATACACACCATTATGATTTTCAGTTAATTGCAATTAATCCACTACACTACTATTGTCTTCCAAGTTTTTAACAATACAAGTTCACATTTCAAAGTTCTAGTCTATATAACTTGGAATGGCCACAAATACCATTTACACATTTTTCGCACATGTTTTTAAAAGTTGAATCTGGGTCAAGTAGCCTGCAAGGTTCTTAACTCTTTCTGGCCAGGTGTCACACAAGTTTAGATCGTGTGTGAATTCTCCAATGTTTAATGAGGTCTGATCACTGTCTGAAACATTTGTTACAGTCCAGTAGTTATGGAGTCTTGTTCTTGTGTGGATTCTCTGATGAAAAACAAGGACTGATCAGTTTCTGAAATGTTTCCCACAGTCTAAGCACTGATGGGGTCTCTTTCCAATGTGGATTGCTGGATGTTTAACAATGTTTGACCTCCATATAAAACTCTTTCCACAGGCTAAGCACTTACGGGGTGTCTCCCTGGGTGGATTCTCTGATGTAAATCAAGGGCTGACATCTATTTGAAATGTTTTTCCATAGTTTAAGCACTATGTGTGTTTTGCCTGATGTTTAGAAAAGCTGATCTGATTCTGAAAACTTTCCCAGAGTCCAAGCACTTATGGTCTTCCCCTTGTATGGACTGCCTGATGTTTAAAAAGGGTTGAACTCTGCATGAATCTTTTTCCACAGTCTGAGCACTGATGGGGTCTCTCTCCTGTGTGGACTACTTTATGCCTAACAAGGGCTGACTGCCGTATGAAACTTTTCCCACAGTCTAAGCACTTATGGGGTCTCTCTCCTGTGTGGATTGCCTGATGATTAAGAAGGGTTGATCTCCTTATGAAACTCTTCCCACAGTCTAAGCACTTGTGCGGTCTCTCTCCTGTGTGGATTACCTGATGTTTAACAAGGTCCGACCTCTGTATGAAACTTTTCCCACAGTCCAAGCACTTATGGGGTCTCTCTCCTGTGTGGATTCTCTGATGTGTTTTAAGATGTGATCTCTGTGTGAAACTTTTCCCACAGTCCAAGCACTTATAGGGTCTCTCTCCTGTATGGATTGCCTGATGTTTTACAAGGTCTGACCCCTGTATGAAACTTTTTCTACAGTCTAAGCACGTATGGGGTCTCTCTCCTGAATGGATTGCCTGATGTTTTACAAGGTCTGACCTGTGTATGAAACTTTTTCCACAGTTTAAGCATTTATGGGATCTCTCTCCTGTGTGGACTGCTTGATGTTTCACAAGGGCTGACTTCCATATAAAATTTTTTCCACAGTCTAAGCACTTATGGGATCTCTCACCTGTGTGGATCTTCTGATGTGTTATAAGATTTGACCTCTGTATGAAACTTTTCCCACAGTCTAAGCATGTATGGGATCTCTCTCCTGTGTGGATTGCCTGATGTTTTAAAAGGTATGACCTCTGTATGAAACTTTTTCCGCAGTCTAAGCACTTATGGGATCTCTCTCCAGTGTGAATTGCCTGATGATTAGCAAGGCCTGACTTCCATACAAAACTCTTCCCACAGTCTAAGCACTTATGGGATCTCTCTCCTGTGTGGATTGCCTGATGTTTCACAAGGTTTGACCTCTGTATGAAACTTTTCCCACAATCTAAGCACTTATAGGGTCTCTCTCCAGTGTGGATTGCCTGATGTTTGACAAGGGCTGACCTCCGTATAAAACTTTTCCCACATTCCAAGCACTTATGTGGTCTCTCTCCTGTGTGGATTGCCTGATGTTTAACAAGGTCTGACCTCTGTATGAAACTTTTTCCACAGTCTAAGCACTTATGGGGTCTCTCTCCTGTATGGATTGCCTGATGATTAGCAAGGCCTGACTTCCATATAAAACTTTTCCCACAGTCTAAACACTTATGGGGTCTCTCTCCAGTGTGGACTGTCTGATGTTTGACAAGGGCCGACCTCCGTATAAAACTTTTCCCACAGTCCAAGCACTTATGAGGTCTCTCTCAAGTGTGAATAGCCTGATGTTTAACAAGGTCTGACCTATGTACAAAACTTTTACCACAGTGTAAGCACTTATGGGGTCTCTCTCCTGTGTGGATCCACTGATGTTGTTTAAGATTTGATCTGTGTGTGAAACTTTTCCCACAGTCCAAGCACTTATGAGGTCTCTCTCCTGTGTGGACTGCCTGATGATTAAGTAGGGTTGACCTCTGTACGAAACTTTTTCCACAGTCTAAGCACTTATGGGGTCTCTCTCCTGTGTGGATAGCCTGATGTCTGACAACGTCTGACTTCCATATAAAACTTTTCCCACAGTCTAAGCACTTATGGGGTCTCTCTCCTATGTGGGTTATCTGATGTGTAGTCAGTGCTGATTTCCAATTCAAAGAGTTCCTGCCCTTAAGGTATTGATAGGGTTTCTGTCCTGTGTGGTTTCCCCCATGGTCCAAGCATTGAAGTGATTTCTCTCCAGTATAAATTGTCTGAGGTGAAAGAAACTGTGGTCTCAGAACAAATCCTTTTCCATAACCGAGGCATTCATAGGGTTTGTCTTCCTTAGGGGTTGTGTGATGGGCTGTGGGATCCCAGTATCCTTCCCCACAGATAATAGATTCATCCATCTGCTCCCTTGAGTGGTTTCTCAGCAGCATCTCTGAGCTCTGCCAATTTCCCCAGGCTTGTCCCTGTTCCAAGCACTGGGAAAAATTCTCTTCAGCTCTTCCCTCAAAGGTCCCCTGTGATTCCCCCTGTCCAGGAACTTCCTGCTGTTGATTCCCCTCCTTTTTCTCACTCACTGTCTCGTCACCTGCTGGGAGACAGACAATCCAGACAGGCGTCATTGTGCCTGGGAGAAAGAAAGAGGAATATCACTGAGGGGAAACCCAACATACTAAAGCTCCACAGAGGTAGCAATTGGATTCTACATCCACTTCCCACCCAAACTTTTACAGAGAAGGAACGTTGGGAAGGAAAGACCTGCAGGTAACAGGACATGTGGGAAGCGATGTCAGTCATATCTGCTGACTGTAGCCCTGCCCTAGGCGAGATGAGGAAGAACCGAGGGCACTTACTGATACCATATTTTTGGGATTGTCAACATTTCCATCGTTCACCAGATGGTTTCTGTGTCAGTCCTCACCTGTGTGGGCACTTCTTGGGATCTCTCTTTCCTCACAGGCCTGGAGATCGGGCACCCACGGATCTTCTCCTCGTTCCAGCCGGCTTATCAGGTCAGGTTTGGGAAGGGGGAATCCTGTGCAGGTGGTGAAATCAGAGAAGATCAGGGTGTGTGGAGGACTGGGAGAGTGTCTGTCAAAATGGAACCTCTCTCTCTGCTGTGCTGGGGGTACATAGAATCCAAGAGGATGGGAACATGGTCACTGAGCTCCCTCGGGGGAGGCAGACGTCTGGGGAGGTGTGGGGAATTGTGATGCCCTAACGAGGAGTTCCTAGGATCTGTGCTCTCTGGGGGCCTTGCTGACGCACACCCAGCTCTGGACTTAAAGCCCTGCCTATTTCTAAACCGGCAGAGCCCAGAATTTTCTGCATGGCTGGAGCTGTTACCAAAGTGGGAGGTGAACAGGGATTCTGTGTGTGAATGAGAAACAACACAGACAGGATAATACATGGCTTCTCCACCAGGAAAGCTAGTGGGGGGTCGGGTGGGAATGATTTTGTATATCCCTTAGGTTTTGACACCATTTCGAGAGTGTACAGAAATAAAAACAACCCAGGAAACTACAGACCAGTTAGTTTAACTTCTGTGCCAGGGAAGATAATGGAGCAAGTAATTAAGGAAATCATCTGCAAACACTTGGAAGGTGGTAAGGTGATAGAGAATAGCCAGCATGGATTTGTAAAGAACAAATCATGTCAAAGCAATTGGATAGCTTTCTTTGATAGGATAACAAGTCTTGTGGATAAGTGAGAAGCGGTGCATGTGGTATACCTAAATTTTAGTAAGGCAATTCATATGGTCTTGCATAATATTCTTATCAATAAACTAGGTAAATACAACTTAGATGGGGCTACTATAAGGTGGGTACATAACTGGCTGGATAACCGTTCTCAGAGAGTTGTTATTAATGGTTCCCAATATTGCTGGAAAGGTATCAGAAGTGGGGTTCTCCAGGGGTCTGTTTTGGGACCGGCTCTGTTCAATATCTTCATTAACGACTTAGATATTGGCATAGAAAGTACACTTATCAAGTTTGCAGATGATACCAAACTGGGAGGGATTGCAACTGCTTTGGAGGATAGGGTCATAATTCAAAATGATCTGGACAAATTGGAGAAATGGTCTGAGGTAAACAGGATGAAGTTCAATAAAGACAAATGCAAAGTGCTCCACTTAGGAAGGAACAATCAGTTTCACACATACAGAATGGGAAGAGACTGTCTAGGAAGGAGTATGGCTGAAAGGGATCTACAGGTTATAGTGGACCACAAGCTAAATATGAGTCAACAGTGTGACGCTGTTGCAAAAAAGCAAACATGATTCTGGGATGCATTAACAGGTGTGTTGTGAGCAAGACACGAGAAGTCATTCTTCCGCTCTACTCTGCTCTGGTTAGGCCTCAACTGGAGTACTGTGTCCAGTTCTGGGCACCGCATTTCAAGAAAGATGTGGAGAAATTGGAGAGGGTCCAGAGAAGAGCAACAAGAATTATTAAAGGTCTAGAGAACATGACCTATGAAGAAAGGCTGAAAGAATTGGGTTTGTTTAGTTTGGAAAAGAGAAGACTGAGAGGGGACATGATAGCAGTTTTCAGATATCTAAAAAGGTGTCATAAGAGGAGGGAGAAAACTTGTTCATCTTAACCTCTAAGGATAGAACAAGAAGCAATGGGCTTAAACTGCAGCAAGGGAGGTCTAGGTTGGACATCAGGAAAAAGTTCCTAACTGTCAGGGTGGTTAAACACTGGAATAAATTGCCTAGGAAGGTTGTGGAATCTCCATCTCTGGAGATATTTAAGAGTAGGTTAGATAAATGTCTATCATGGATGGTCTAGACAGTATTTAGTCCTGCCATGAGGACAGGGGACTGGACTCGATGACCTCTCAAGGTCTCTTCCAGTCCTAGAATCTATGAAAGTCTATGAAAGTCTCTCTCACATGGCAGCTGTGCATTACGGAGCCCATTCTTCTCCAATCTAACTGAGCAGGGAAGAACCTGACCAGTGTCGGACACGCAGACCGCACAGCTTCTAATAACCGAGGGGACGGGAATCCCTTACCCAGCGAGGTCACCATCTCGTAATTCTCCTGCATGACGTCCCTGTAGAGGGCTCTCTGAGCGGGGTCCAGCAGAGCCCCCTGCCCCTGGGTGAAATACACAGCCACCTCCTCGAACGTCACCAGCCCCTGAAACAACAAAGGGCCGGAGAAGCTGAATCCCCCCCCGCCCCCCGCCCCCTGCTCAGAGCAGCCCGGAGGCTTCAGGGGGTGGGGAGAAGGTTAGACCTCCTTGTCCCCCACAGCAGACGGAGGTGGGCAGGGTCTTCTCATTTCCCACCCGCCTGCCATCCACAGGCTGATACGGGAAGCAGCGCTCCGAGCCGGGGACAGGGAAAGGAACCTCGACAGCTTCCCTTCGTATTTCACAGCAGCCTCTGCCCAGTGGGATGTTTCCTGGGTCACAAATGGGGGAAAGTTCCCCCTTCCCCCGCCAATGGTCCTGTTCACAAAATCAGGCCCAGGTTGATCATGTTCCAGCAGGTTTATCACACTCTGTCCACTCCCTGCCTCACACTGTGTGTTTCCTGCCCCTCCCCGTCTACAACAAATCCTCCCCTCCTCACCCCCACAGTTCCCTGTAAATCCCTTACCTGAACTGTCTCCATCACAGCCATTTCCCTTCCCTGTCTTCTGGAAGACGGGACGACCTGGAGCGAAACGTGGACGTGATTCCTTAGCCTGTTGGGGAGAGAGGAGCAATGGGGGAGGTTATGGAAGGGGCTTGAGTCATTAGCCCCCCCCGCCTCCGCAGACAGAAGCTCTGGGCTCTGTCACGCTGGGAAAATCCTCAGTCACTTTACACAGACTCGGCCCCTCCCCCCAGCACTGAACACCCTGTGACACCAGTAGGTCCTGAAAGGGGCCCTTTGTGCAGAGTCATTTGCCTGCCCAGCTCCAGCCCTTTCCCCAGGTCTCTCCATCACCTGCAGGCTGAGGCTCAGACTCAGGGGCTGGTATGGTTAGAGGGGTTCCAGCCATTGGAGAACGTGCCCTTGAGCTGGTCTCAGGGGGGTGTGATGAAGAGGGAATGTTTTTAATATTTTCTCTGAATACTGTGTGTGTGCCTCAGTTTCCCCATGTGTTACTCAAGTATTGAACTGGTGGGATACAGGTGTGTGATCATTGCGGAGACCTCTAGAGGGCAGGTGTCACTGCAGAGTGGCTGCCTGGGCACATAGATGGCCAAACATTCTCTATTCTGGCCAGCAATGGCTTGAGTCTGTCCTCTGCAAGGAGCCAGCCCCAGATGTTGGAGAACAAAGAGAGAGGCAGAGGCCAGGTGACCTATTTTCCTGGGAAAGTGAGAAAGCATGGAGCAGGGGCAGCCGGATGGCACTGAGGATGTGGGGCTGAAAGCGCGTCAGTCTCTTGTTTTGGGACTCAGCGGGGAGAGCCCAGGGCCAGATCTGGTCTCTGGATTTTCCCCAGGATGGACTTTGCTGAATGGTCCTGTTTTCTGTGCTAACAAGGTCCTGCCTCCCCCCGCCGCCTCTACCCCATTCTTCTCCCCAGCTCGTAGTCCCAGGCAGTGGGGCTGAAACAATCTGTACCAGATGGGGGGCGTTGAGAGCCATTGAACCAAACTATAAATCCTGGATAGGCTGGAAACCCCTTCAAGCCAGGGGGGGCGACTGGGCCTCACTAGCGTTGATCCAGCGCCTGTGCTTCCCCCTGGCCCTGACTGTGCCCCGGGCCCCGCTCCTTCCCCGGCCCCCAGCTGGGGCCCCAAACCCTGCATTCAGTTTGCCCCCCGGCCCACCCCCTCATATCTCCCTGAGCTGCAGCCTTCGTCCGCACCAGCGCGGGCAGGGAAACAAAGCAGCAGATGGGGGGATGGGTGATAACGTGATCCTGCCCCGCCCCGCACACACCGGGGGCTGGCGGCAGCTTTCCTGGGCCCAGGGCAGGGAATGGGTGTGGGGGGTCACTCTTACCTTGCTCCAAGGGGCTGCGAGTCACTTCCTGCTGCCGGGCCTGAGCCCAGCGATCGCTCCCCCCAGAGCCGCCTCCCAGCCGCTCCTGGGTCCTAGCGATCAACCCATCGCGCTGCAGCATCTCTGTGTCCAGCTGCTGTTCCACTCACAGGCTCTCAGGACAGAAGGGAGGGACCGTCTTCCATCTAGCGCGGGGAATGGGTGACACATTTTTATAAAATACTCTAGGTCACAGGACCTTTCTTTCCAGTGTCCCCGAAAAGGTGCAAATCCAGAGGACAAATTAACAGCCCCCCTTCCCCACTTGGTAATCTCTATAACTGATTGGGAGGTGCGGGGGGGGGGGCAGACTCATGATCTTTGAGCCCTTCTGGCTGCTGACCTAGTTCTGTCCCTGACCCCCCCCCCCCCAGGGGTTCCACAGGGTGCAGGCCATGGACTGGGACACCCCCGGGGGTTGCGGGGGGAATTCCAGTATGACGGGGATGACTTCATCAGCTTCCATGTCCAGCCTCAGGATCCTTACCCCTGTCTGCATCCCGACTCCCCCCCCTCCCGGAGTCATGGCCCTGCTCCCAGCCCCACCTCAATTGGATCGGGGGGCACAGAGAGGTATAAGGGGGGGCACCGCACCCCTACTCTAAAAAGCATTCCACTGGGCTCAGAGCAATTCCAGCCTCTCTGTCTGTGCTTTGCCGGGCTAAACCAGTCATGGTGGCAGTCAGGATGCTGGGCAGATGCCCGTGTTGTGAACTCCTTAATGTGTAACCAGTAGAATTTTAATAGTTGAAATGGTTACTTTTTACATGCTATTTTCATCCCTAATCTGGATACCTGCCTTGTAGCTTCAGAGCCCTTAGGCGGAACCCTCCACCAACCCCCAAAGCTTCCCTGACTATTTGCAGTAAAAGAATTCCCCTCTGGCTGCTGGGAGGGAGGGGGTGAGCGAGGGATAGAGGGAGGTGGGCAGTGTAAAGTTTTGCCTCTGACACTGTGCACTGGGTAAGACACACAGGGGCCATTGTCTTAGGGATGGGTTTCAGAGTAGCAGCCGTGTTAGTCTGTGTTAGGTAAAAAGCAAGTCCTTACTCACCTCTCCAGCACCCGAGTTCGTGCGGAGTTGGTATGGGGGCTCACAATCTGTCAGAGACCAGACACCAATT